AAAAAATAGTGCAGATCGACAGATCTATGAAAACTTCAAAATATTGAAAATTGATGGTTAAAAGCATTACAAAATACATTATTTTCAAAACTTAAAATCATTTTTTTTTCTCATGTTCATACATCTTGATGTCGAGATGATTAGTTTGAGGATTTTTTGGCATCAAAACAATCTCACGTAGTGAAATTTTTTAGGGAGGCTCGAATGTGATTGTTTAGAGCCTCGCCTCTATATAAACTTTTCCCATATATAAAAAAGAAGCTTTCTTCTATCCTCCTCATACCATCCAACTATCCATTTTTTTATCAAGAGAGCCACTCACCATTTGATCATAGATCCAATGTCTCAAAGTATTTTATTTTTAGTTTTTGTAATACAAATTTTTTGAATATGAAATTTGGTACGTTCTATCTTCTCATTGGGGCACACCTATAAAAATTATTAACAATAATTTTTGAATAAAAAATAATAACCAAAATACCCCTTGAAACTTTCATGGGTATTTTGGTCACTTTATTTTATTAAAAATATGTTTTTTATATTTTTTGTTAGTGTGAGATTAATAGAAGAATGGACGTCCAAAACTTGGTGTCATAATAATTTATAGAAAAAAATTAAAAAAGAAAATAGTGTAAAGATGTAACATTGTGATTGGGGCAATCTTAACCCTCCATCCAAAAATGGACGGTTAGATCAAAAGGAGGATAGAACTTCTTTGTTGTAGGAGAACATAAAAAGCTTTCCCTATGTAAAAAAGGAAAAAGTTTATATAAGGTTGCATCTTTAAAATATAGAAATATGGATGCACCTCCAAAATTCATCAGAGACAGACTTTGTCGAGATGATCAACTAGAGGCTTTTTCAACAGATTATCTAAACTGTCCATTTTCAAGATTTTTATATGTTTGTAGATCTACTTGATTTTAACTATTTTTGGAGTTTATAATTTTATAATTAGATGTAAAAATAGATTTTTAAATAATCCTAATAATTTCTTACACCAAAATTACATGTTATGATAAAATTTGAAAGTACATCTTAATTGGATTGTTTAAAGTTGCACGATGAAGATGAAAACTAGGTTTTGAATGTTTGCTGCTCACGGTTTAACCATTGATTCTATAAATTGATGACTTCATATTAATACAAAGCTAATAAAAAATACTTTTTTGGAAATAAGTTATTAATAATGTAAAAAATAAATTAGACAGTTCGGATCATATTTTTTGATATTTTTATTGGTCGAATAATGATTCTTTTTCTCGCTTCCACCCTCCCTCTCTACATACACGATTAGTATTACGTCATATCTAGGGCTTTTTTATAAATAAATTTTTCTTTTTTTTACTCTTTCTCTTCAAACTTTTGTTATTTGAAGCATTGAAGAAGAAGATACTAGAAAATTGCTAATTATTTTTTAAAACATTTAAAACCCCTTTTTTGACAAATAATAATAAAAAAATAAACCAGAAAGAAGGGTGAGCAGACGTTTTGGTGTTTCTCTCTCATCAATTCAATTTTATCGCTCATTGTTTAGACTTTCGATCTATTGGGCCTGTCCCCCCCAATCCAGGCCCGGACCAATTATTATTATTATTTTAAAAAATTCTCTTCAACCTTTCTTATTTGAAGTAAAGGGAAAAATTTCCAATTAATTTTTAGAAAATTCTCGTAGAGCCTTTAAATGATTTTGCAACACCTAGGTACAACTGAAAGACTCAAAGTTTATGGGAGAAAAACAACTGATAAAAAAAACCAATTCTATAAACAAAAGAGAGGAGAGAGAAAGAAATACAATTCTCTCTGAACCCAAAAAACAAAACAGTTTAGGGAGAATTAACCAACACATGCACTTCGAAAGGGAGAATTACCTTTGCGTGAGAGAGAGAGAGCATGATACTATTGAAGACGAACCATTGTTTGCATCATAGAGACATGAGAATCACAGTCAATACAGAGTCAAGTCTGAAGAAGAAAAGAAATAGAAAGGAAAACTCCAGCATACAACAGATTACAAGCAAGAAGGTGAAGAATCAAGCAGCCTTCTTTGTTGGGGACTTTGGTGATTTGGGCTCTTGGGTTTCAGGCTTGTGAGACCTCTTCGGAATCAGGACAGGGTTTATATTTGGGAGAACCCCACCATGAGGAATGGTGAACCGAGCCAAGGGCTTGCCAAGCTCATCATCATTCCTAACAGCCAACAACACATGCCTTGGAATTATGCATCTTTTCTTCTTGTTCCTCGCAGCCTTACTAGCAAGCTCTAGAACTTGGTGAATTCAAAAGAGAAGCATGAAAACAACTTCAAAACTAATACAAATAATCAATGAAAGAAAGCGAGAGCGAGATCAAAAAAACAAAGTAAAAACCCATCTCCCAAATCAACTCCAGAAAGAGGGGAGAGAGAGATGGATCAAAAAAAAAAAAATCCCAATCGACTCAAGAAAACCAGAGAGATCAATATAAACAATCCCATCTTCCCAACTAATGCAAACAAACAAAAGCAATTTCATTGATACCACTATATAATGAGTTAAAAGAGCATCCAAATTGAGTTATAAGCAAGAAACACACCGGTATGTGAGGTAATCTGATTTTTTTTTTTCTCAAAAACACACCGGGTATGTGAGATCATCAGCTTTTAACAGTTTTGCTAGTCCAAAATCACCTGGACAGTTATTGCATTTGCATTGATAGTTATTTCCTGCATGATAGATATATTTGAAGATACCCAGTATTTTCTCCATAACAAAGAAATTAAATGGTAGAATTCAAGAGCTTTTCCATCGCTATTCATTTAGAAAGTCTATTTTTTGCTTAGAAACTTGTGCTTTCCTAGAGGGATTAGATTCTTCAAGTTGAACTGTGGAAGTTACACAGAATCCCTAGCCACAATTTCACCAAATGAAACGTTTGTGACCAACCAAACCAAAGATGGGTATGGTCCAGTCAAATGAACTACCAGCATCTTGCATGAAAACCATGGATGGAAAATGCCTTCACTAATTGTGGCTTTATAGATTTTTCATGCGGTGAAAAAATACTAATACAATAAGAGAAAAAAGAGAGAGAGAGAGAGAGAGAGAGAGAGAGAGAGAGAGAGAGAGAGTAGTAAATAACTACTAGTAGTAAGTAAGTAGTGTGTCGTAGTAGTAACGTCGTGTGAGAGGAAGGAAGGTAAGTAAGTAAGTACGTATTTTAGTTTAGTTACGTTACCTTTACTTA